CTATTTGGGGGCAGGAACGCACAGGAACGGAGTTCCGGCTGGCTCCCAAGTTGGCCACACCCAGCAGGAACTCATTAGCATAACAGACCACACCCAGCAGTAGATACTCATTAGGATTGGCTACATTAGGGTTATGTGGCTTAACATGCAAAGGAGTTCCTGCAACAAAAAAGGCCCTGGGTTTTGACAACAAACAAGGTAAACAGAATAAGAAGCAAAAGGTGGGTGTGGCTGGATGACCAGACTTCTGGTAACATGGGGGTGCGGCCTAATATGCTAATGAGTGGTGCAATCAGGGGTGTGGCCTAATATGCTAATGAGCTTCTGCTGCTGGGTGTGGGCTATTATGCTAATGAGTTCCTGCTGGACTTTTTCTACAAAAAGAGCCCTGCATGAAAGGGACAGATTGCTGGTCTCAGTTCCTGGGAGTATGTGAGCTTGCAGACTGAACTGGTAAGAAGATTTCAAGTCAGGCAGCACTCCCTTGAAGAAAGTTTACAACACATAGGTGTTTGTCCAATGCCATCAGGCTAGGCTATGCTTCACGTGTTCTTGACAGCTCTGTGAACACTAGCTGTCTATCACCTATGAGGTAAAATCCATTTTGTATGGCTTCACTGAGTCTGCTAAAAAAGCCCCATGTGAGCCACTAATTCTTGAAACTTCCAGCAATAACCCATCATTCCCTGAAGATTTCCATCTGAGGTTCATCCCCCAGGCCCCCAGGCCAAGTAAAGCAGTCTCACTTCCAATCCACCTCAGTCTTATACGAACTGGTTACAGGGACATGCTCTTCATGTTGAAGATGGAGAGAGACCTTCCAGACCGACTGTAGGGTCCACGTTTGAGCACGACCAACCACTACCACACTGTAGTCATCAGGCTAAGCAGTATCTCCACTCTGGCCTTCCAGTCTAGCAGCAGGGGCAGTGAAAGACCGTGTGGTTTCCCTTGCCAACATGAACTGGAGCTGAACTGGAGGAGAAGCCGCCCACCCGCCCGTCCATCCGTCCATCCGTTTGTCCATCCATCCATCCATCCATCCATCCATCCATCCATCCATCCATCCATCCATGTGAAAAGGTGAGTAGGTTTCTAGCAGAAACTGCTCATATTTTTCTTAGACAGAAATATAAACAAGAATGAAGAAGAGATGTTATCATCACCACTGACAAGCTGAATTAATGCAATCAATGTAGTGCCTCAACAAGCAATAGTACAAAATTATTAATTGCTGATAATGCTATGTACATGGTGCTTGGTAGGGAAGGCAACAGGTTGTAGCCCAGTCGAGTCAGATCTCAGAAGCTAAGTAGGGTGAGTAGTACTCGGGTTGGAGACCAGCAAGGAAGACTCTGCAGAAGAAGGCAATGGAAAACCACCTCTGCTACTCACTTGCCTTGAAACCACTGGTTGGAGGCACCATAATTTGTATGCAACTTAATGGCACTTATGTATGTATGTATGTATGTATGTATGTATGTGTGTTTGTGTGTGTGTACAGGGCGCTTTCTGGAGTAAATGCCACTGAAAGCACCACCACAGAGTTCTTCTTCAAGGTGACTGCAGTATAAAAATTGAGAATTAGATAGGAAAGGGACGGAGAGAAGGGATGAGAAGGAGAGGCTGGCACCAGAGGAAATGAATGCCAACAGTGTTGGAGTGAGCGACCCAGCATGCCTGGACATTGGGGGTGCTACATCACTCTAAGGGTGTATAAGTGTTACCTCCTTGAATAGGACAACTCCACTTAATAGTGAGTCAACATAGGTACAATCACCATGCACAAATCAAAATGCTATTTTGTCATAAGTGGAGTCCAAGGCCTCTTCGCAAATTCACTACTCAATGGTATCAAATCTAGCAGGCAAAAAGACAAAAAGAGCTGAATGGTTTTTTTGCCTCTGTCTTCACTGTGGAAGATGAGAAGTGCTTGCCCACTCTAGAACCACTGATTTCAGGAGGGATGTTGAAAGACCTGAGTCAGATTGAGGTGACGAGAGATGAGGTCCTATGACTTATCATTTATTTATTTATTTATTCAATTGATACCCCATCCTCCCCACCAAAGCATACATCCGAGAGTTCTGAAAGAACTCAAATGTGAAGTGAGCATGACTTTGCTAACGTGTGATATGAGTGCAATTGTGCAATAGTTTGAACATTCCTTGGCATTGCCCTTCCTTGGGATTGGAATGTATACTGACCTTTTCCAATCCTGTGGCCACTGTTGCATTTTCCAAATTTGCTGGCAAATTGAGTGCAGCACTTTAACAGCATCATCTTTTAAGACTTTGAATAGCTCAGCTGGAATACCATCACCTCCACTAGCTTTGTTGTTAGTAATGCTTTCTAAGGCCCATTTAACTTCAAGGAGAGATAAGGAGGCCTTCCTGAATTCTGGAAATCTGCGTTCAGTTGGGTAAATCTTTCCTTTTCGCCTTTGCCTTTCGCTTTCCTTCTTTCCTCTGCTATTTGTAAAGCCTCATCAGAAAGCCATTTTGCTTTCTTGCATTTCTTTTTCTTTGGTATGGTGGTGATTGCTGCCTCCTGTACGATGTCACGAACCTCTGTCCATAGTTCTTCAGGCACTCTATCTATCAAATCCAGACCCTTGAATCTATTCTTCACCTCTACTGTATATTCATCAGGGATGCGATCTAGGTCAAACCTGAATGGCCTCGTGGTTTTCCCGATTTTCTTCAGTTTAAGTCTGAATTTTGCAATGAGTAGCTCATGATCTGAGCCACAGTCAGCTCCAGGTCTTGTTTTTACTGACTGGATAGAGCTTCTCCATCTTTGACTGCAAATTATATAGTCAATCTGATTTCGGTGTTGCCCATCTGGTGATGTCCATGTGTAGAGTCGCCTCTTAGGTTGTTGGAAAAGGGTGTTCGCTATGACCAGTGTGTTCTCTTGACAAAACTCTGTTAATCTTTGCCCTGCTTCATTTTGCTTTCCAAGGCCAAACAATATCATAATTCCCCTATATAAATCAATGGTGTGACCTCATTTGGAATACTGTGTGCAGTTCTGGTCACCACACCTTAAAAGGGATATTATAGCTTTGGAAAAAGTGCAGAAAAGGGCAACTCGAATGATAAAAGGGTTGGAACACTTTCCCTATGAAGAAACGTTAAAGCGCTTAGGGCTCTTTAGCTTGGAGAAACGACGACTGAGGGGTGACATGATTGAGGTTTATAAGATTATGCATGGGATAGAGCACATAGAGAAAGAGGTACTTTTCTCCCTTTCTCACAATATAAGAACTCGTGGGCACTCAATGAAATTGCTGAGCGGTTCGGTTAGAACGGATAAAAGGAAGTCCTTCTTCACCCAAAGAGTGATTACCACATGGAATTCACTACCACAGGAAGTGGTGGTGGCTACAAACATGGACGGCTTCAAGAGGGAATTAGATAAGTATATGGAGCAGAGGTCCATCAGTGGCTATTAGCCACAAGTTATAGATAGGAACTCACAGGCTGGGGCAAGTGATGCTTGGGGGGGAGGCACAGTTGGAGGGCTTCTGGAGTTCTGGCCCAGCTAGTGGACCTCCTGATGGCATCTGGTATTTTTGGCCACTGTGTGACAGAGTGTTGGACTTCGCCACACCATGAGCAATTTTGTAGATCTCTATCACGTCACTCCTCCATTGCCTTATTTCTAAACTAAGAAACCCTAGATGCTTCTCTCTATAAAAAGCCAAAATAGTCCCAAGAAAGCTCATTCTGTAACAGAGACATAGTTCTACATGGAATTACACACACACACACACACAACACACACACACACACACACAGAGAGTTATAAGTCCTGCCTTTGCCTGTACTAATTTCTGTTCCTTCCTGGCCCTTTTCCTTCCAGATCGCCACTGTGGAGCCAATGGCAGGTGGTAACCAGACACAAGTGTTGGAATTCATCTTCCTTGGTTTCTCTGGTATCCCAAGGGGCCATGCCCTCCTATTCCTGGTCTTCTTAGCAATCTACCTGGTTACCATAATTGGGAACACCACGATACTCACCCTGATCCAGCTGGACTCCCGCCTTCACACCCCCATGTACTATTTCCTCAGCCACCTGTCCTGCTTGGATGTTTGCTACTCGTCCGTCACTGTCCCCAAGATCCTGGCAAACTTTGTGAGCCAGAACCCAGCCATTTCATACAACCAGTGCATGGCCCAGATGTTCTTTCTGATGACGTTTGCAGGAACGGAGTCCGCCTTGCTGGCCGTCATGGCCTATGACCGCTATGCTGCCATTTGCCAACCACTGCACTATGGGAACCTCATGAGCAGCCAGGTCCGTGTCCCTCTGGCCATTTTTTCGTGGCTCTGGGGCTTACTGAACTCAGCCATTCACACAGCCCTAACCACCACTGTGTCCTTCTGTGGGGCCAACCAGATCGACCACATATTCTGCGATGTTCCTCCGCTCCTCAAAATCGCCTGCAGCGACACATACGTCAATGAGATGGCCCTTCACACAGCCAGCATCTTTGTGGGCTTCAGTCCATTCCTCCTTGTTGTTGTCTCGTACGTCTACATCCTGTCCGCCATCTTGCGGATTCGCACCAACACTGGCCGGCGTAAGGCCTTTTCCACATGTGCTTCCCATGTGGTGGTGGTACTAATCTACTATGGGATGTCCAATGTGAACTACAACCGCCCCAGTGCCGGCTACTCCTTGGAGATCGACACCCTGATCTCCACACTCTATTGTGTCGTCACACCCATGCTGAACCCTCTCATTTACAGCTTCCGCAACAAGGAGGTGAAGAAGGCCTTGTGGAAGGTGCTAGGGTTGCAGAGTAAGGAATACACTTCCCCAGCCAAATAATGAGCCCAATGGGGAGGGCGGGGTATAAATGTGAAAAATAAAATAAATAAATAAATGAGAGGAAAGAAACACCAAGATCCCAGGCCACACTAACATCTAGTTTCCCACCTTCCTCTTCCCTCTGTCTGTGGATTGCTCAGCTGCTGTGCCCCACAGGAAGAATGGCTATGTACAGATCTGGCACTACAGCTCAGGCAGAAGTCTTAACTTCCAGATATTCCTGTCTGGGCATTAACTCTGCAGGAACCCAACAGCTTTGATTCTTGTGAAGTTCTGTAGTCAAGAGCCAGGCAGGAAACACAGAAGCCAACTCGAATAAACGTGAAATATCCAGTTTTCATTTTTTTAATTTATTTTATTGGATTTGTAGCCCTCCCTCCCCTGCACAGCAAAGCTCAGAGAAGGTGACAACAGTGTCAAAACAGTAAGACAATACTTATAGACAATAATTGTTATTGTTTTAATCCGGCACACAGTGCCCTTGTTAGCCGCCCTGAGCCTTCGGGGTAGGGCGGGATATAAATGTAAATATAAATATAAATAAATATAAATAAATATAAATAAATACATAAATTAGGTATTAAAACAATTTCCAGCATACTCTTAATGTCAAACAGATGGCAGCCTCCAAGACTCCGAGTGAAGGGTGGGGTATAAATCTCTCCTCCTCCTTCTCTTTCCCCTCTCCAGCGAGGCCCTCCTCACCTCCTCTGCTCTCATGCAACTACGCCTCCAGAAGGGAGCAGTTCACATGCAGGCAGTCTCTCTTCAGGTGTCACCACAGCCCACAGTAATAGCATAGGACTCCGGGCCCCCATTCCTCTCCAGGAGTCCCAGCCAACAGGCATATCCCATCCCTTCAAGGTGGCTTTGCAGGCAGGTGTTCTGGGACCAGGGGTGATAACCCCCATGTGGTGGCTGGAGATTTCCTAGGATGACAACTGATCTCCAGGAGACAGAGATGAGTTCCCCTGGAGGAAATGGCTGCTTTGTTTTTTTTAATGCCCCCCCAGAGGGGATTTTTATTGCATTTTTTAATATATTACAAACTACAATGAAAAAATAGGGACAGGGACTACATCTATGGAGAAATAAAAAGTAACCACTAATAACTAAAACCCCAAGAATGGGAGCTCATAACATCAGCTTGTAAAAGTATTAATCTAACATTGCTAAAATTACATTGAACATAGTCGATTATGCAAAATTATTTTTCTTGTTATCTATGGATTTAACTGTTTAAAGAAAACCTCAAGAGCATCTTCTATAATAAAAAGTTTAAGGCACAATTCAGAGTCCTTCAGCCTTTACTTTGTTTTATTTTTTCTAATCCTCAGCTGGTATGCTTGTTTGGGGGCGACCGCCCCTTTGTCAGAAGCAGAGTCCTCATTGGAAGACCCTGAGTCCAATTCGCCACTAGATTTGCTGTCCTCTTCTCCCTTAGCGTCCTCAGCTGTCTCTCCCAGTTGCAATCTCAGAAATTCAAGCGCTTTGTAGACGGAGTCAATCTTTTCTTTTTTATCGTGTAATTTGAAAGTGACACATTCTGGAATTAACCATCTGTAGGCAATGTTGTTTGTAGAAAAAGCGCCAAGTCTTTATACTTCTTCCTCTTTTGTCTTATTTCAAATGGTATGTCTTTAAGAATCCTGATGGTGTTGTCTCTGATTTTCAAGGGTGTTCCCGTAGTTGCTTTTAGGATTAAATCCCTCACATGTTTCTTCGAGAATCTACTATCTCCCCAGGCAGATTATTTTTTAAAATGTAAACAGAATAGGCCTTATAGACCACATCCATTTCGCTTGTAAGATATTCCGCTTTCAAATCTGTAACTGGGTCTAATGCTTCACTCAGCAGTTGCTTTAGATTCTCATCTTTTACCTCAGGGACCCCTTGAAATCTGAGGATCAAATTTGCTTTCTCCATTTGTAATTGTAGAAGTTGAGATTTGTCCAAAGCTTGCTTTTTCCCCAGCATTTTCACCTTTTTCTTAACTTTTTTTATTGTTAGCGTCTATTTCCTTAACTTTCTCAGCTGTTTGCTCTGTCTTCTTTTGAGCTGTTGATTGACATTAGTCATCTGTTCCAGCAGAGAGCGCAAGGAATCTGCCAACAGTTTAGAGAACTCAGTGGTCTCTTCCGGTTGGGGGCTCATGCTCCTCACTAGTTTAGTTTTTGCTAGTATGTCTCTATCCGGCTTCTTCCCCGCCATCTTTATGGATTGTTTACTTTTAGAAAAAGTTGCTAAAGCCTCTGAAAATTGCCCATATGCTTATCCACGCACTGGTAAGTCTCCTAAAAAAGATTTCAATGCTTTTGCCTTCGCTCCCCCCCTGTTAAATCGCTTTTTCATTTGTGTTCTTATGTGTCTATCTACTGCCGGCTTCACAGGGCGCTCTGGTCCTCTGAGAGGGGAGAAAAGGTTCTGTGTCTCACTACCTTCACCACACCATGAGCAATTTTATAGAGCTCTATCACGACACCCCTCCATCCATTGACTTTTTTCTAAATTAAGAAACCCTAGATGCTTCTCACTATAAAAGTCAAAATAGTCCCAAGAAAGCTCATTCTGAACCAGAAACACAGTTCTGCATGGAATTACACACACACACACACACACACAGGTATAAGCACAGTTTTCACCCATGTTAATTTCTGCTCCTTCCTGGCCCTTTCCTTCCAGATGGCCACTGTGGAGCCCATGGCAGGTGGTAATGAAACGCAGGTGATGGAATTCATCTTCCTCGGTTTCTCTGGTATCCCAAGGGGCCACGCCTTCCTATTCCTGGTCTTCTTAGCAATCTACTTGGCTACCATAATTGGGAACACCACGATACTCACCCTGATCCAGCTGGACTCCCACCTTCACACCCCCATGTACTATTTCCTGCTTGGACATTTGCAACTTATCTGTCACTGTCCCCAAGTTCCTGGCAAACTCCTTGAGCCAGAAACCAGCCATTTCATACAACCAGTGCATGGCCCAGATGTTCTTCCTGATGATGTTTGCAGGATCAGAGAGTGCCTTGCTGGCCATCATGGCCTATGACTGCTATGCTGCCATTTGCCAACCACTGCACTACGGGAATCTCACGAGCAGCCAGGTCCGTGTCCCTCTGGCCATTTTTTCATGGCTCTGGGGCTTAGTGGACTCAGCCATTCACACTGCCCTGACTACTGATCTGTCCTTCTGTGGGGCCAACCAGATTGACCACATATTCTGTGATGTTCCACCACTCCTCAAAATTGCCTGCAGCGACACCTACGTCAATGAGATGGCCCTTCACACAGCCAGCATCTTATTGGGCTTGAGTCCATTCCTGCGTGTCGTCGTCTCTTACGTCTACATCCTGTCTGCCATCTTGCGGATTCGCTCTAACACTGGCCGGCGCAAGGCCTTTTCCACGTGTGGTTCCCACGTGGCAGTGGTAGTAATCCACTAAGGGATGGGCAATGTGAACTACAACCACACCAGTGCTGGCTACTCCTTGGAGATCGACACCCTGATCTCCACACTCTATTATTGTGTCGTCACACCAGGGCTATTTTTGGGCAGGAACGCACAGGAACGGAGTTCCAGCTGGCTCCCGAGTTGGCCACGCCCAGCAGGAACTCATAAGCATAATAGGCCACACCCAACAGCAGGAACTCATTAGGATTGGCTACATTAGGGGTGTGTGGCCTAACATGCAAAGTAGTTCCTGCTACAAAAAAGCCCTGGGTTTTGACAACAAACAAGGTAAGCAGAATAACAAGCAAAAGGTGGGTGTGGCTGGATGAGCACACTTCTGGTAAAATGGGGGTGCGGCCCAATGTGCTAATGAGCTGTGCTGTCAGGGGTGTGGCCCAATATGCTAATGAGTTCCTGCTGTTGGGTGTGGCCTATTATGCTAACGAGTTCCTGCTGGGCTTTTTCTACAAAAAGAGCTCTAGTCACACCCATGCTGAACCCTCTCATCTACAGCTTCCGCAACAAGGAGATGAAGAAGGCCTTGTGGAAGGTGCTGGGGCTGCAGAGTAAGGAATACACTTCCCCAGCCAAGCAGTGAGAGGAAAGCAACACCAAGATCCCAGGCCACACTAACATCCAGGTTCCCACCGTCCCCCTCCCTCCGTCTCCAGGTTACTCAGCTGCTGTGCCCCACAGGAGGAATGGCCACATACCGATCCTTCACTATACCTCAGGCAGAATTCTTATCTTCCAGATCTGCCTGTCTGGGCACATTAACTCTGCAAGAACCCAAGGAGAAGGTGGACTTGGAGATGAAGAAAGGCTGAAATGTGTTGGGCCCTTTGGTTAATATACACGTGTAACCATTATTGTGTTCCTCTGTTATTAGATGTGCAACTTCATTCTGTTGCTGTATACTATGATCTGAGTTTTCCATGGTACCTTGTGTATGTTATTTTTATGTGCGCTGTGTAATAAACAGTTATATTTTATTTTATTTTCTAGTTGCTTTGGTTCCTGACTTGATTTTCAGGTTCTTCCCCCCCCCCTTTTGTCTTTCTCTAGTATTAACTGGGGAATTTGTTGTAACTGACATTGTGGCACACAAAAATTGGTTTGAGAGACACAGAAGCCAACTTGAGTAAAGCTGAAATCTCCAGCTTAAAAAAATATATATATTAATTTTATTGCATTTGTAGCCCTCCCTCCCCTGCACAGCAGGGCTCGGGGCAGGTAACAGCATTAAAACAGTGGAGTGCCACAAGGGGCAGTGCTCTCCCTGATTCTTTTTTTTATTATTAATAGCTTTATTCCCTCTCCTAAAGAGGAGAGAGATTTCGCTTAAAGTCAAGAAAGGGGGAGGGTGTATAGATGGATAAAGAAAAGAGTGAGTGGTGTTAGTATATTAGTATATTAATCTTTTCATGTTAAGAATTAGAGTCAATCACTGCTTCTGTAGTCCGGCGTTCTTTTCTTCTTCCGTCTCTGTTAACCAGGCAATTAGTATGTTAGTAGTGTCCTTCTGGGGGTTAGTTTCTTTTTCAAAGTGTAATCCAAAAAATAGAAAAGTTTCTAGAGTCTGGGGTCTTTGCTTTTCTTGTCTCTTAGATTATACTTCAAGGCAGTCGCTCCTTTGGGTTCCTCGTCCCTCAGCTCTCCCTCCGAGCTACTGTCTTCTACATCCAGTCCTGTCATCCACTTGGCCAATTCTGCCTCTTCTTCTTTACTGGCGTGTCTTTCTAGAAAATCTTGAGCCTTAAAGATAGAGTCGATCTTTTCTCTCTTTTCCTTGAACTTGAAAGTCAGTCCTTCGGGCACCAGCCATTTGTAGTTTGTTTGATGGTTTTGTAGAAATCTGGTCAGTCCTTTATATTCTTTTCTTTTCATTCTTATTTCAAATGGAACATCTTTTAGAGTTCTTATCAGCTGATCTCCGATTTTCAGGGGTGTAACTGATGTTGCCTTTAAGATCTGATCTCTGAGACGTTGCTTTGTAAATTTTACAACCACTTCTGCTGGCAACTTATTTTTCCTTGTATAATTGGAATAGGCCCTATAGACCACATCCATTTCTTCTTTTATTTTTCCCACTTCGTTGCCAGTTAGTGGAGCCAAGACTGTCGCTAGTATGTCTCTTAGATCCTCTCCAACTTCTTCCTTCAATCCCTGGAACCGGAGAGTTAAGTTTGCTTTTTCCATTTGAAGCATTAATAATTTCTTGTCTTGTTTTTCCTGATATTTTTCAACTTTAATGACCTTCTTCTTAACCTTTTGTACTTCTTCGGCTGATGTCAGACATGTCTTTGCGATGTCATCTACCTTTTCAGCTGTATCTATCATTTTTTTCTGTTGTAAAGTATAGGCACATTCCATAGAATCAAGTTTCTGGTTAATCTTTTGCAGTTCTTCCAGCAGATGGCACGCAAGAGCACCTTCTTGCTGATTGACAGCAGATCCAGCAAGGGAAGGGCTTGGGCAGGAAGTCCCTCCCGTCTTCTTCACCAGCTTTTCTTATACTTTTTTAGTCCCTGCCATGCTTCAGTTTTGTTTACACTTAAAAAGTTCATGCCGTGGCATTCAAGGAAGCTTCCCTCCTCTCCGCTTTTTTCTCCCTCCCAGCAAGGTAAACCGTTCAAGTGTTTTTTCGCTCCCCCCCTCTTTATTTTAAAAGTCTCTTTTTAATACGGAGGTGGTAGATCCCTCCTCCCTTTCGCTTCTTGGGGGGGTGAGGCTTTCTTTTAAAAACCACCGCTTAAATCTCGAACGCCAGCTTACAGTTTGTCGCTTGCTTCTTTTCTCTGACTCGATTCATCCGCTCCACCACTCCGCTTTCCCAGCGGCTTTGCTGTTCCCCATTACAGGACACAACGCAGCTGGAGCCGTTTGGGGCAGGGTGCTCTCTCTGATTCTATTTAACATCTATATGCGCCCCCTTGCCCAGATTGCCTGGAGGCATGGGCTAGGGTGCCACCAATATGCAGATGACACCCAGCTCTATCTGCTGGTGGGTGGTTGGTCTGACTCTGCCCCAGAAGATCTGGACTGGGCGCTGCAGGACGTGGCTTAGGTTGAGCCAACTGAAATTGAATCCGACAAAGACGGAGGTCCTATGCCTAAATCGGAGCGAATCGGGGTTAGGGCTCCCACTACTGGCCTTCAGTGGGGCGCCGTTGGTGCCAGCGCCGAGGGTCAGGAGTTTGGGAGTGCTCCTGGATGCTTCCCTGACAATGGAGGCCAAGACAGCCTTTTACCATCTTCGGCTAATTAGGCAGCTTGTCCCCTTCCTCGAACGCAATGATCTGGCTTCAGTGATCCATGCTATGGTCACCTCAAGGTTGGACTACTGTAATGCTCTCTACATGGGGCTGCCCTTGGGGCAACTCTGGAAGCTGCAGCTAGTGTAAAACGCAGCGGCCAGGCTGCTGATGGGTCTCCATATGCGGGAGCACATCCAGCCTGTGCTAAAGTCGCTGCACTGGCTACCAATAGCATTCCAGATTCACTTCAAGGTGCTGTTTTTGACCTTTAAAGCCCTTTATGGTCAGGGGCCTGTGTACCTGAGGAACTGCCTTTCCCCACATGTCCCCCAGAGAGCACTGCGATCTGGAACAGAAAACTGCCTGGGCCCCCCTGGGCCTAGGGACGCCAGGTTGGCGGCGACTAGGACCAGGGTATTGTCCCTGGTGGTGCCGACACTCTGGAATGAGCTCCCTGGCGAGATCAGAGCACTGCAGGACCTCCAGCTATTCCACAGGGCTGTGAAAGCGGAGCTTTTCCACCAGGCATTTTTGTAAGAATCAATTTCATCGGCTGCGCTGCACTTGCACTTTGTTATACGATACTGCCACATTTAATGGTTTTAACTGTATTTATTTGGAATTTTATTGTATTTTATCTATGTATTTGCTGGTTTTAGAACTGTATGTAAGCCGCCCTGAGCCGCTTCGGCGGAAGGGCGGGATAGAAATCTAACACATAAATAAATAAAACAATAATGTTATGTACTGACAACATAACATGAATCGCTCAATACACTTCCCATGTTAAGCTTCGAGCCGGCCAAGGCTCCGACAGTACGAACAATCTATTGGTCGCTTCAAAACAGCGACCAATCACAGAAGAGCTGTTCCCTGAGCGGGAAGGACACTGATTCGCCTTTAACTATGCAATCTGATTGGTTGTTATGTAAATAGTAGGCGTGTCCGAGGAGTTTAAACAGTTCCTCACAGACAATGGCATCCGGCAAATGACTGCAGCCCTGTTCCACCCAGCTTCGAATGGTCAGGCCGAACGAATGGTCCGCACAGCCAAAGAAGCCTTGGGACGATTGACAGAAGGGGATTGGAGTGTGAGGCTGGGGGCGTTCCTATTGCGCCAGCACACCACCCCATGTAGCACGACAGGTCGTAGCCCAGCCGAGCTACTGATGGGCAGGCGGCTAACCACCTGCTTAAACCGCCTTCACCCAGATTTATATGATCAGCAAGAGGGGCGTACATCTCCTCAAACGAATGTGCACATGTTTAGGGAAGGGGACAAGGTTTTTGCCCGTAATTACGCCAGCGGACACTTATGGGTCCCCGGAAAAATATGTGATTGTATAGGCTCTAGGATGTATACAGTACTGTTAAATGATGGCAGACGGTGGCGGCGCCACGTGGACCAATTGAGAAAGCGTTGGGCCAAGGACAGCGCTGACTCTCCGGCGGGGTCCTCAGAATTAGTTATTCAACCTCCCGCAATGGAGGAAAACGAGGAGTTGGCAGGTATTACGGGGCAATTCCCTGAGTC